TGGATATTTTGCACATTTTGTGAGCGGTATTGTATCCGGCTGATAAACTGATAAAACGGTAATTTTCTAATCTGGTTATGTGGGTGGTACTGTAAATATATGCGTGCGAAGGGAGCACAGCTAACGTAGTGTATCCCAAGGCTCTAACATAATTGCATGCTGTAGTATAATACAGTATTTATTTGTTGCATGCCATTCTATTAGAAAATCCAAAAAACTGGAAAGTACAAAATCCAAAAAAATGGCAAAACGAAAACTCGAAAAAACCGGCGGCCAGCGGTGGTCAGGGCAAGTGGGTAAGACAAACAAGGAGATGAACAGATCCAATCGAGCTTCCTTCCTTACTGATAAGTTCCGGGGAAAGCCTAGGACCTGTTTAGCCAAACCGTCTAAGGTTAGGAACGAAACGGTTTCATCAAAGAGCCGAATTGTATTCCTGTTTTCGAGGAATACAACTTCGGCTTTTTTTTGATTGAAGTGTATGTGATGCCGGGCGGAGCCGGGTATGCTAGCTAGTATGTAATTATATGACAACAAGTGGAAAAAACGGTGCAATCTGGGATGCGAAAAAAGTAAAAAGTACTGTCCTTCAAAACAAAGCTAAAAATTTGGCGCCCAGGTTTTGTAGTAGATTCGACGGTTCTTTTCTTTTCATTTCATTCGGCACGTTCGAGGCGTTCCAAATCGAAAACATCAAAATGTTATACATGAACCCAACAGTGATAAAAAATCACCATGTCATCCCAAGTCCAGTCCAGAGAACTATAGGTAGAGAATTAGTGTAGCAACGTATGTAAAAAGCGTGCGTTACTGTTTAGGGTTGCACATAACTTTGCGCTTGCATGCAAACCGGAAGTTCCGCCGGCGGGTATATTGGCAAGTTATTGAAATGTATTCTTATCCTGACATGAACTCCAGAATAAGAATACGTTTTAGTAAATTATAGTAACAGGTCCCAAAACTTTGCAATTTCAATTCGCGTCGGATCCGTAATCACATATTCCATATCAATTTGCATCTCATTAAACAAGTATGAAAACTTTTGGAAATCTCTGCGATCACGAAAATTCGAGGAACCGTCAACTACTTTTGAGAATAAAGAATAACCTTGAATATCCTGTATGCAATCACTCTGCAAGTGCGTTAAAGGCAGCGTCCACCCAGAATTCAACTCCCCATGTTTTCGTCATTCTGAGGCCTTTCCGTGGCCCTGATTACAGTTCCGAACTTCAAACTCTTTAAAATTCACAAAAAACCCGATTCTTGGGGACCCAGTCTTGAGGGCGCGGACGAGTTTCGAATTGCCCGTCCCCGTCGGCTGGCCAGCGGGAAGTTGCATTGCAGGGTGCAATGTGCAGATTCTGCTCACTACCTCGTCAATACATGTCGGGAGGCACGTATTGAGCAGTCCCTGGTGGGCGGAGTCTGATATCAGACTCCGCCCAGGCAGGGAATTTCAGGCTCCTTATCTCCATTCAGAGCCAACGTTAGAAGACCGGACCAACGCAGATGTCCCTTTTTTGGGGCCTACATTCAGGATCGACACTAATCGGAGGGGGTTAGGTTTAGCCTGGACACTGTCTTTGAGAGAACAGGCAATTTTTTAACAAATAAATTTGCTGCGGCGCAACATGGTGCGATCATAAAACGTGCACAGAAACTACGGGCAATCGTTTACTAATCAAAAAATGGATGTAGAAAAAGCGCGTTGCTCTTTTCACTATTTCTGTTGATTTTGAATTATAACTGGGTCCAATTCGCCAAGCAAAAGCAGATCAGACGCTCTTCTTCAATTTTTACAAATTTTTACACTTTTCTGGGCTATAACTGTCCTTTTTAGACAACGTCCTACGTCCCTGGTATAATGTGTATAGATTTTTGAAAAAGAGATTACGCGCTACACACTACTTCGATCGAATTTGGTACCGCTTTTGGTGGTATAGCTATAGTCCCAAATCGCGCTCAAACGCTGTGGCGTATCGTCAATGATCCGGCTCGCTGTTATCACCTACGTATTCGAGGCACGCAGCTATCTACTTTAACTCACTTCGCATTCGGCATGCTTTTGGCCTTGGAGCGCAGCAAGCTTCCCGGGCTTGGCTTTCTTTTTGTACCTCACCTTGTGACTAAGTTTTCTTTTTGTATCTCACCTTGTAATTACTACCTTCTCCTCTTTCGCTTGTTTGTGCTCAATTTCTCTTCTCTCCCACGGTTGTAGCTCATCCTTTAACCGCAAATAATCTCAAAAACGGTCTCATATAGGATACTGTGGTAACAGCCTTCGTTACTGCTTGCAGAGACGGATGTCTTTGCAATGGCAAATGTTGCTTATTGGTCCGACTATTCCGTCATTTCGCTACAAATCCTCGATAGGATGCAATAAGAGTCAAGCGTTAAGGAAATAAGTGCACTATCTGTAGGGCTCTGCGAATTGTGAAGGTGGGTATTTGCGGCCGCCATGCCTGAAACCAGTTAAACAAATCCCATACATTTTGAATTCGCTTCATGTAATTAAAGGCTAACACATCTTATAGCAGAAGAACGTTTGGTAGGTGAAAAGAAACTAAGAACCTGGATGCGCGAGCGTTCGACCTCAAACTTACCGACCTTCACCATCACGTAAGCCCTATACAAAGGACTCACCTACAAATTAAAAGCAGCTCATACATCAATTTAAATAAAGAATGACGATAAAAATATATGAACCGACACCACAATTGTCAAAATATAGAAACAATGGGATTGATTCATTCATTGATTCATTCATTCCTCATTCTGTTCGCAATTCGGATCATAAGCACCCACTCAGCATTTTGCTTATTGGAAACTTCCATATCCTTCCATACATTCTTGGATGTGATTGATGAGCAAAACACAAAAAAATACAAAGGATGGGCTACGACCGTGGGAGAGAAGAGAAAGTAAGCACAAACAAGCGGAAGAGGAGAAAGTATATAGTAATTACAAGGTACAAAAAGAAGGCTAAGTCCGGGAAGCTTGCTGCGCTCCACAGCCAAAAGCATGACCGAATGCGAAGTGAACCAAATTAGATAGCTATGTGCCTCGATTACGTCGATACCACCCAATAAAAATGCTTGTAACTTTGTACGAAAAGCTAGAAAAGCAGCCGTTTATTAAATTTGTCACTTCGTCTGCTTCCAGGAATATCTGGAATATATTAGGCCGTCCTGAAAGTAATTTCGGTTTTTTGGAAACGGCACTTTCCGCGCAACAAAGATTTATGAAAGATACTGGTAACGATCGATGCAGTTTCTCATGCCCTATTGAATGATGTTGTTCATGTTGCAGTTCACAACTAGCTATCAAAAGAACTGCAACGTTTTTAACATGGTCAAGTTTTTCTATTTTTTGAAACTTTTGCACTTTTTTTCCGAAAACCGAGTGTAACCTGTAGATGGAGCAAACCGGGATCCAAAACGTCATCTTCTTGCTATTAAGACTATCAAAAAATATTTCTTCGATGTTCTCCAGTAGGTGTGCTGCACGTACATTTACCTTCTTTAACGCTGCTTTCAGTCAAGCCTGAGTTCAAAGCTAAAGATAGTGAGAGTTTATTCTAGATCAAAGCTGTTCGGTGAGAGAAGTTGTTGCTTTGCAACGAGATGTTGTGCCTTCCGAACTCAAAAACAATCCTTAAAAGAAGCCCTACGTTTACTAATAGTTTCACTAGGAGCTACACTGAGAATGACTAGAAAATGTAGAAGTAATGAAAATTCTACGCGCAAATAAAAAATTGACCTCTAATGTTACAGTTTTTAGTTGTTGTATATTAGGTTGGTGCAAAAGTAATGCGCGTTTCTCTAGCCCATGTTTCAGGACATTTTTCCATCAAACCTTTCTTAAAAACACATAGCATACCGTCAAGAAGCTCTTTTCATGCTTTATTTAAAAAAGTTCGAAGCGGGCTTTAGCCTCATTCCTTAAGAAACTTGTTTACACAACCGCACTCGAAACCAGAATTTCATTGCATTTACGCTTATGGCCAGAATTGAAGCGCGAAGCATGCTTTTGAAAATTTAGCTACTACATGTAATGAATTGTCTACATTAGACACACTTTACTTTTTTTCGGAATTCACCTAAACTGAGATTTTGGCGCCTAAATCAGGGTAGCTATTTTGGTCATTCTGCGACCCATAGATTACAATAGAAGAGAACAATCGCCAAAGCTTTCGTCATTTCTGTAAGCGCAAGCGTGGGCCTTCTGTTAAGTTTTTGCAAAAATGTTTTAACTGTTCAGTACGCAGAAAATCAAGAAAAAAAACACATTTTGGGACTTTGAGGCCTACGAAAAAATGTTGGAAAAAGCTGACATTCTTGAATTTCAAAATTTTTCCATATCCCAAATCTTCTTTGTTCAACCTTCTCTTATCTTTTTTTTTGTGTTACTGGCTTGCGACTACAAGATAGGCTTCTTATCATTTACACCAACAAATTTTGAAGGAAGTATGATCAGTTAAGAAAACGATCTTTTACAAAATCTCTTTTTGCTTTCAATCCATATTTTCTGCCTGTTTGTGATATGAGTACGAGTGGATGTGCGATGTATGGCGAAAGGTTTTCGCTATGTCACTTAGGTATGTTGTGTTCACTTTCCTCTTTATAGCGATGGTCGCGGTACATTGAGAGAAAGAAAATGTAATCAAAAGTGTTTGTACTCGTGTTGAAAAAGTTATAATTGTAAACAGGGTCAAGCGGGAGGGGGGGGGGAGGGAGGTGTGGCACACGACCGTCGAATACGACTCCCCTTGGGCCGGACTCCCGCACGACCCGCCCCTTCCCCCTCCCCCCCCCTTCCCCCTTCCCCCTTCCCCCGCTCTTGAGCTTCACTGCTTTAAACTAACTTTCATAAAATTTTTTCTGTTTACAATTTTCTCTTCAAAGCATAACAACATTTCGACTTTTTTATTCAACAAAAAATAACAGCATTTTAACTTTTTTATACAATAAGAGCAATAGTATATATAAAATAAATACAGCTTAAGCATAATAGTTAAAGCTTGCTTTCTTCTTTGTTTGCACCTCTAGAATTGCGTCCACGAAATCTTCATGCAGCACTTCGGTTGCATCGCGCCGCAAAGCAATCAAACCCTATATACCGACAGTGAGGGAACAATAGACGCAGAGCAGGTTTGAAACCTACCGCTTCCACACAGACAGCTTTGCACTGAGCTCCATTAAAATCATCAGTGCATCGTGCCAGCCCTTCAAAATTCACGTCTTTGCTAGAATACATGTTTATCACTTTTGCTTCGCCTTTCGCGATATGAAGTGCTTAGGTGTGATACAAAAAATGTCGGAGAAAATTCAAAGAAAAAACAAAAGAAGATGCAAGATTATCAATCTTCTCCGTCTCTACCCTAGCCCTTTTGAATGAAATCGTGATGCAAAGAAACTGACAATGACTAAACAGATTTCCGATGATGCTGCTAATGTTTGTTCAGTAACAAAGGTAGGGTCTCAAAGCAAAAAAAGCATGACCTTGACAGCATCGTCAAAGAAACCGCTATGATTGCACTTGTGGGAAAAACATACTTGACGTACATCTTTCTCGAGTGAATCTGCATGATACGTGCTCGAGCGTCTTCATTTGGATGTGGCAGTTCGATTTCCTGTCTAGCCGACTAGATCTTAGCAACGCAGGGTTGAGTACATCGATTATGGATGTCGCAGCAATTACCCAAATAGACTCTGACGTGGTTTGAGCACACCTGCCGATAATCTTACCTTGATCTCGTCATTCGGTTGGAAACCATTGAGTTGATTGAGTAGTTCAAGCATAGTACGTTGCACTTCACGGTCACCCGCTTTTTCAGAATCGAAACGCTTGGCACCTGATTAGACCAATAAATTATGACAGAAAAAGAAAAGAAAAAGTAAATTTACGGTGCTAGACAAGGAACTAAACCCACCGATATCATCAAGTTCATCGATGAATACAATAGCAGGAGCCTTTTCCTTGGCAAGTGCAAAGCGTCACGAACAAGTCTTGCGCCATCTCCAATGAACATTTGAACCAACAGTGGACCGGCAAGTTTGAGGAAGGTCGACTTAATTTGCGCAGCAACAGCGCGAGCCATCATGGTTTTATCCGTATTTGACACAGCATTATATAGAGGATAAGCCGGGGTAAAATGAAAGAACGTACCTGGTGGTCCATACAGCAAAACTCCCTTTGGTGGATGGAAACCGAGGTTGACAAAGCAGTCCTTGTGTGTCATTGGCGGTACTACAGCCTCGATGAGTTCTTGGATTTGCTTGTCACAACCTCCAATATCGGAGTACTGCTCCGATGGTCTTTCATCAACCTAAACTTGGGAATGTTTTGGTAGTTCGGATCAGCGCGAAAAAAAAGTCCAACACAAGAAAAAGCAAAACAAAAGTACCTCCATAGTTTTCACACGTGAATTGTATTCTGCCGGAAGTTTCTCCAAAATCAAGTAGGAATCCTATCGAGGCAAAGATTAACAAACATCATAAAGAAACAAAGCACTAGTAACCTTGTTTACGCCAACTAGATCGCCCGGCTTCAACTGATGGTTTGTTTAGTCTAACAACTGGTAAGAAGTAGGTTGCTCACGTTGAGGTTTTGATGACAGCACATTTGGTTTTATGGGCGTTAAGATCCACATTGACTTCTGAATAATGTGAATTCTGCATAAAGAAACAGAGAGAAGGGTGAAGTTCAGAGAAGAAATTGGCCCGTAGTAAAGCTAATTCAGTTCAGGTGAACTAAACTGAGGCCTTCATCCAAGATTCGGTAAGGTAGACTGCCTATCACCAGCTTCCCATGTAGTAAGAATGCAAAATGAAATTTCAGCTGACCGTCCGTCTACCTGACGAGGTAGTCTACCTCACTTCAGTCAGTCCACATTCAGTTAGACTACCAATTGATTTAAATAGTGTGTCAATGATGATACGCAGAGAAACTCCCGAGTAACTTACGATACACGTCAGTTTAACATGTCGGTGAGGAGCCATAGTGATGCTGAAGAGACTTAACAAAACCTAACAAGTGTGGCCACATTCTCGCCTCTATTCCAATGACTTAGATGTGAATGTTTGGCAAACTCGTCTTGACTCGTACACTTGCATGGACGTGGCGCTTTCAATCTTATCATCGTGGGTGGTTGGCAATATCAATCAATGGCTCGGCTGAAGGCAAGCTGACTCGTCGAAACCTTAAAGGCAGCGTACACACAAAATTTGAGCTACCGAATTTCCAAGATCTTTCTACACCGTGTATATACTGGGCCTAGAAGAAGACCAACTGCGTTGGTCCGGTCTCCCAACGTTGCTTCTGAGCGGAGGAAACCCCCCTCAATTTTCTTTCATGCCGCCCCTTTTCTTCCGGACGAATCCATAACAGCGTAAGCTGCAATTGCAGTTGCAGTTGCTGTTGCAACATCTGTTGCATTTGTTTTGGGTGTACGCTGCCTTTAACTAAAATTTTATTCAGCTGAGATCGAATGAAGCAGCTTTACTATGGGCCATTGTCAAAAGAATGACTTGTTTTAGCAGGAAAAAAAAATCAAAATCGAAAATTAGACTGAAAATGTCCAACAATCGCCACTGCTGATACATGCAGTACACAGATGCAAGGAAACGCAGATTTGAAAGTGGCCAAATAAGAACAGACTGCAGATTCAAGGCTAAATAAGCCATAATCATACCTTATAGATAATACCTACAATTACGACCTTGCGGCTTCTCTTTCAATAAATATTACGTAGCTACTACAAACTGAGTTTCAGATATAGGGCGCATGCGGACAGCGCTCTCAAAAGCGGCGTACTACCATTTGGTTATTCAATTGGTTTGGCTCCCTGAAAGCGGGGCTTCGTGACCTAATAAGGCTAGGTAATGATAATAGAGCAGGAGAGACGTAGATGCGTCGCGGGCGCGAGCGGCTTCAATTAGGCCACAAAGCCCCATCCTGCTGAAGCCAAGCCAGTTGTATTAAAGGTTATATACCCCAGCCGCGGTTGATAAGCGCGATGAAACAAAAGTTTCGTACGAGTGGATATCGAATTTATGTTGGAGAGGTCAACAGTGCAAGAACCCTTGCAATAAATGACGAGACTGTTGTGACAATTCAAATGCTCTAGCAAAAAGAAATCGTTTGTATTGAGTATAAAGCGACAGCCTTACCTTTTCTTGATTGTCTCCCAAACCTAGAAGTCTCCACAACGTTTGAGACTAAGTAAGGTGAAGTCTTGTTCACCTGAAAAGATAATATGACAGCAATAAGGCAAGCACGAGCCAGTAAGTTACCTTGATCCGCTCGTTATTTTCTTTTTTTGCGCTCTTTCAAGTACAAACGGAGTGGTTGATTTGCTGCACCTCACTTCTCATTATGCGGATTTCATTATCAAGCAGATGAGTTCTGCTTTTGAGATCATCAGGAGCCATATGGAGAATTTCCTCATCCAGTGCCTGGAAATCTATGATATGACCTCCTCTAGCTAGAATGCACTTGAAAAGCACTCACCTCTTCCACTTCCATCTTTTCCGTTGCTGCAGCAGCCACAGGTGTTGCATCACCCTTGGCAGCAGTAGCCTTTTGCGTGTGGTTGACATTCTGAGCGTTCATAGTACTAGGTTGCTGCATAAATTTTATCCGAGATTTTTTGCCTTATGTTTGAAGCAGCTGCTCTAAGAGGATTTCATCTCTGATGGAATAGCGTTAGTATCATTAGAAAGTGCTTTTCTTGCGCTTTCTAAAGCATATCAAATTTCAATAAATTTCTTACTGTAAGGAAATATCAGGCCTAAAATCTCCAAATGGTCGAGGTACGTCCTTCACCCTAGAAATATGTTCTTGCGAGGAAATCTCCACAATGCGCCCTTCAGGTCAAATTTTTGATCGGTTCCGGAATAAGGGTGTAACAGGCTAGCATACGCATAAGTTCAGTTTCATGAAGAAAACGTCTTGCTAGTAATATTTGATGCTAAACGTTCATTTTCTGTTTAGCTTTTTTACAAGCAATAACTTTTTGTGAATAGAAGTAATCAACGACTTCAAAGTTGGAGGTGCTAGTGAAAAGCAAGGGCTAGCAGAGACCATCCACCAATTTCTTTTCGGCGCTCACGTCAATTGTAAAATTTTCATATCTCGTAAATAGGCATGCACACATGCACTGAGGCGAGGTCAAAAAGTGGCTTCTTTTTTGCTCGGTCAAGAAAATCTCTCGGCAACGCAGACCCTATGGGCTCTTTCATGTACTAGAATAATCTACGAAAAATTCTCTATCTATCCATTGTTGAACAGAATGCCTATCAATTCTTATAAGGGAGCACTGCCATGTCGAAAAAGATAGGGTAGAAGAAAAACACTGTGAAGTTTTCGAGTTCTTGCTTCTTCCTTTACAAGGATTTTCGCGGGTTCCAATATGAACCTGATAGACAAGGAATTGCCCAACACAAGAATCTAAAATCTTGGTTATATGTTAACTTTGAAGAGAGTTATGACATTTTGAACTCAAAAAATCAAATCGGACAGAACTTATGCAGCAACCTAATATCATTCAAATCATTCAAAGATGATGAAAAGGCAAAACAAAGCAACGCAAAAAAGCAAAGATAAGAGTGAAAATTTTCAAGACGGACGATACTTCCAGCAATTATGATCACATCAAATGCAGGGTAATCAAAATCAGTATTTCTAGAATGAAGATAGTAAGATATGAACTTCCATGATACCTAAACAAAACAAATCTGGTCCTCGGACACTCGAGCAGATAAATCACGGCAGGTTAAAGTTGCAACTTCTCTCAACTTTTTTTATTCGAAGTCTTGCTGGTGTCCGCGAGTTGCTTTTGGAGATTATCTACGACGGCTTGTTCGGTGAATTCCGCAATCTGCAAAGCGTATAGTAGAGAAGAACAAAGTAAAGAGTAGCAGCAGAATGGAACAAGAGAGGGCGAGTGAAAATCAAAACGAAAACCATGTTAGAGCGGTGCGAACGAGTAAAATGAAGAATGCGAATTTCAAAGCCCCGTGGTTCGCGCCTTGGTGTGTTCGCAATATTTCGAGCACTACCATATCCCCATATTTTTAACGGTTTTCAGAGCCGTGCATTCAGCGCATAGGGTTCAGAAAAATCCCCTGTATCTTTTCTTAGAGGAAGCGCTTTGGGGGGGGGGGCAACTGCTACTGTGAAGAGGGGAAGGATGGCTCAGTAGAATAGTTCAAAAAAGGCTTTCGTTTGAGCCTTTTGAAGGTAAGTCAATGGGATGTGGTACCCCTTCCCCCTCGTACTACACACAGTAGAAATTTGAGCTGGATTGTTCTTGTTTAGGATAAATAATGGTTGATGAGAGCGCAGGTATTGAAATTTGTAAGTGGGAATTGACAGTCTTCTGATTCCACAGCTTGGAGGTTTCTTGAAGTGGGATCTCTCATGCAAGGTAAGAAGAGTAGTGCTTTGTATTGAGTGCAAGAAGAGATAGCTTACTCACCTTTGAAATGAAGTTATTTATGTTTGAAGTTACTGTTTCATACAAGCTCGTTTACTACTCGGAGACCTCAGAGTTTGCTGAAGCTTGGCGCATAGGGGTTATTCGACATGCTGATTACGACAATTATACTTGATCAGCGGTACGGTAGGTGACGGTAGGCATGCGGTATCTGCAAGTTAGTGTCATTGAATTTGAATTTTGCAGGACTTCAACAACGCTTTAGTCAAGTCGATTTAGTTATATAGCTTGTACAGCAAAACTAAATCTCTTCTCTTCTGCATTGCATCTCTCATTCAAATAAGATTTCTTCAAACACAACTTGCTGTGTAAACGGCAACACAGAATGAAACTCGCGAAGATTTCCAATACCAACACAGTCACTATACTAACGCATCGTCACCAATCATTTATTGCCACTAGCATGGAAAAGATAGAACTTTGCTGTTTATTCTAAGAACGCTCGCTGAAAAAATTCCTTCACCATCGCGGAGGCAAAAGGAACAGTGGCTCGAAGAGCACAGAAGAAGTTTTGCCGCCCGACCTGAGAGCCATACGTCAATTCGTTGTCGTTTACAAAGTAGCGGCATTATTGGAACTGTTATCCAAAAAGCCGGTACAGCAAATGGGACTCCGGTCCCTTTCCCGATTGTGTGAACGACTTTTTGAAGTAGCCACAGGTGCGTTTGATGGAGCTTCTGGAGGTCATTTTCAGGGAGTGTTTGCCAAACTGAAAGACATGATCGCTGAGGAGACCGAAGCTGTTTATCCTAGAAACAATATATTTTCTGATAATTTCTGTTTACATGGCCCATAAATTGAATCTGGCTGTAAAGGCCCAGAAAAGTCCACTGTTCAAACTTGCACAAGCCATTGTCATGGACTCATACCATCTATCTGGATCTACTGTGAGAACAACCGGCAAGAGTGCGTACAAGAAAGCTGCACAAGAAATGTGTTTCCCAGATTTGCAAATGAGCGCTCTTTTCACAGTGAGATGGTCAGCTAGTTTTGCCAATTCACTCTCCAATATACTTCGCGTTTACCCTGTGATTCTACAGGCACTGGCGGATGTACGAGATAACAAACGTTTTAGCAGCAGCCTCATAAAAAGAGCTACTTTGACATTTATGTGCTTTCGGATGCGAGGACATACATAGCTTTACATCATGCCAACACCACTACAATGAACTTTCTGTGTTGTCGCAATATACAGGGTGCGGCAAAAGTCTGGGGGCCTAACTTTGCAGTACTGCTACAATTACAAAGATATGATGGTTTTGATTTCAATTTTATCCCACATGATGCTGCGGTCATCCTCTACAGGATACACTTTATTTGAATGGAAATGGCTGCCATATGTTTTTGTAAGAATGGAAATTACCAAACTAGTACTTTTGCAAAGCGAAAAAACCAGAATTTTTGGTATTTACAATTTTTGCTGTAACAAGAAATGCTGTTAATATTTTACAAAACTTCGATGCATACAACATAGAAAATATAATAATAAAATACAACATACAACATACAACATACATACAACATACATACAACATACATGGCTTGCGCTATTGTATCCTAGTTTTGCTCTTGCCAGGAGCTGTTCTCGCATTAACGGAAAATAAAAGTTTGCGAATGTTACCTACGTGCCAGTGGAAATCGTCTTCAGAACAAACTTAAAAGCTATAGAATGCGCAACTGGCATTGAGACCAGAGCTGTATTTTTTGCATGCGTCTTCTAAATTAGAATCTATTGGAATTCGGCTATGGGAACACTTTTTAAACTTTTTAAACGATAATTTTAAGTCTTTATTAGCGCAATTGTAGCCAAAATTTCGGTATGCGACGTACACATGCTTCTAATTGAAAATCCAATATTTTTATTCCTAAGCAACGCAACAAATTCTTTTGGAAGTATGTTGTAGACAAAAGTTTGCTCTATCCTGCTGCGCATTTGCCAAGGTATAAAAAGCAGTTATTGTGAAGGCGTGGGGCGAATTCCATTACGACTACTTGCGTGCCATGATAGGTGGACTTGCCAAGATTTTGTAGGGCTGCGTGGAAGCCAAAAGAGGCAGTTTTGCAATTCAAGAACTGGGCTGTATCTGCAATGCTTCGAGTTATGTGTGCGCCAAATTTTTCGTTTCTAGGTACTTCCCCTCTCGTTTTGTACGAAAAAGTACTAGGCTCCCAGACTTTTGCCGCATCCTGTATGCAGCCCGAGGAAGAGCTACTTGTTGACAACCTACAAAAAGTGGAGAGCTCTTTTCTACAGCATAGCACAACGAAGTTTACTCGAACAAACGGCAAAAAACTTACTTGAGCGAGGAACCATCAAGGGCTACATTAATGGCAAAATAGAACGCATCATATGGACTTCCTCAACAAATTACCCTAACAAAGATGACAGACGCCTTTTAGCATACAATTCTCTAGCGTTCGCAGATTTTTTACTTGACCACTGCTCAGAGGGCGATGACGAAGAGCGGCAACGACATCTGGACTAGCATCTATCCAGAGACTTGGCTCGCACCACAACCTACGAAGGAAGCCCACCGGACTTAGACGATTCCGAAACTTTTAGCCTTGAAGATACTCCAGAAAGTAGTGAAGGTGACTTGAGGCACTATAGTTTAGCTAAGCGATATGAAGATTTTGTCTGGAACGATGCTGTATATCCTTGCATTATACGTTTCTACAACGACATGAAGCAGGCATTAGATGCTCAGCTCGTAAATAAGCCTAATGAATTCAGTAATATTGATCTACTAGCAGTGGATAAGCACATCTTACTGGATATAATTGAATCTAACGGAGATAAAACGGCTTGTTGACTATGTACCGACAAACCCAAACTTTTTCAACAAAGGATGCCCGAGCTATTAGGATGATGCATAATTCCTGCACCAAAATAGCTACAGACCGCAGTAATCTGGTAAAATCCTATATCCCAAATAGGATTTGACACATTTTTAGATAGAGCAAACCTAGCTCTACAAGACAGTGCTCAAAAATCTGCACAAGCTTTTATTCGCGCGAAGTTTTGAGCCGAAAACTGAAAAAAAACCATGCGTTCGAGAACCTTAAGACCAATCAAAACAGAATTGTAACTTTGTCCAAAAAGCTCCTACAAAAT